GGTATAAAGGGAGTTAGTTTTGCACCTTTTTGTAGTTTCATGTATAATTAGATCAAGCTTTAGGAAGTTACATGGAGCAACAAAGCAAGATTTGTAACTTTAGATGACAGAAATATCAAATGCGGTGGAATAGTCTGAGATATATCTCTTGTAGCAGATCTTGTGCATTGACTTGTTATGATCTTTGAAACATTGCCAATAATGAGTTTGATAACAACAAGATAATTTCCCCTTTTGTATGGGGTGTGGTTGGGTGCATTCTACAATGGGAAACTTAATTAAGCTCATTATTTTTGCTTGCAATGGACTCTATAATAGTGTTCTTTCTGTGTTGCTTGATTGGACCTGAAATTTGAATTCTGCCTTAGTTTGGCTGAATATTGCCTTATATGGTTGAGGGCTTTGCAAGGCTGTAAATCTGTTATGATAAAGGAAAAAAATCAGGATTTGTCAATACATCATCCATTACTTTTATGCTACGTTTGGTAGGAGTGCTAGTACATGAGTTAGCAATAAACTAACTTCACTTGGTAATTTGTAGCCACTCACATGACTAAATTTGAACAAAGAGAAGGAACAAATATTGCTTTTTTTGAATAGGTATTATTTGTTACTTGAGTTTTTACTCATCTTTCCAATTTCGAGTTTAGATTTGTACTAATTCTTCTTCATGTTATGACAAACTATTTTAACAACTCGTGAAATAGTTAAGCTTTTCATTGTCTTCTTACTTATGTCACCAAATATAGCATTAGTGTTTACAATTATTGTAATGGTTTAATTTTTAGAATATTGAACTAAATGATGCAGGAATGGAAGCAGACGTTTTCCTGTTATGGTATTTTAGTTTGAACAGTTTAGATTGCTTATATATAGGAGCAAATAGGGATTTTATCCATTATGGTTTTGCTCATTTTGACCCATTCTTATGGGTTTCACGTCTTTCATCCGTATATTTAGTCTTATGTTATCTAGTTCTTGAAAAACCTGGTAAAGTTAATTATTTTGGTATCTTGAGGACCACACTGCATAGCTCCATGAAGTGTAATGTCTTGTTCTGATTTGTCTTCCCAAAAGATATATCTTTGATTAATAAGTAGGCTTTCAAATGCTTTAATATTTCTAAGGATGGTTTCTGAACAAATGTTTTTATTGTAATTCTCATCACTTTCTCAATGCTGTTAAAGTCCTATTTCTGTTCTTAATTTTTGCAATCAGTACTTCTCATTGTTAGAATTTTGTTACTGTCATTTATCTCAAGCCTCCTAATCGTGGTTTTACATGTTTGATTTTGTAGAATCTGTGTCTCATCACTTTCTCTTTTTCAATGCTGTTAAAGTCCTATATCTGTTCTCAAATCTCAATTTTTGCAACCAGTACTGCTCAATATCAGAATTTGTTATTATCGTTAATTTCAAGCCTCCTAATTATGTTCTATTTTGTAGAATCTGTTGACACTGTGTCCTGGATTTCTATCCGAGAACATAGCTGATGTTAAAAAGAATAGATTTACTTTGCAATATTCTACTTGTTTTCACATGCAAAATCCCTTTATCACTTCACTTCTTTTTTCATGAATGTCTTTTAAGGTTGTAAAGTTGCATTTCATTCTTGTGACTATCAATTTGTATTTTTAGTGAGATACTCTCATTTCCTAGTATAATGACTAATTGGTTCCTTCTTATCTGATGTTGCAGATTGCTGCAGTCCCAGAGGATATTGGAACAGCTGGGGCACTTAGGGCAATCTCACACCGCCTCACTGCAAAAGACATTTTGGTTAGAGTTTTTTAATTACTTGTGTTTGATTTTCCAAACGAACTAGTTTCTTTCTTTACAGCCTTCTTCATTTTCCCGTAGGTTGTGAGTGGTGATCTTGTTTCTGATGTTCCTCCTGTTGCAGTTGCTGCCACCCATAGGCGACATGATGCTGCAGTGACTGCAATGCTTTGCTCTGTTCCTGTTAGTGGATCTTCGGAGTCGGGATCTTCTGGTGGAAAAGACAAAACCAAAAAACCAGGACGATACAACGTCATTGGACTGGACCCTTGCAAACAGTTTTTATTACACATAGCAACAGGTTAGACTTCTAACATTCTGTTCTATTTGGTGCTTTAATTGGGCTGGATTCTTACTAAGAATCTTTTACTACAATGTAGGCGCTGAAATTGAGAAAGATTCTCGACTTCAGAAGCACATACTCCATGCAGTAGGCCAGGTATTGCTTGCAATCAGTCCATTTACTTTTCTTACACACTTCAGCCAATGACTACTAATGCCCTCTTTGGTGGAGTACAGTGATAATACAATTGTGTGCTACTGCATACGAGTTTAGAGGCTCAATTTTTTATTTAAAGCAAAACATATTTTGCCGATTGGCCCATCTGCCCATTTAAAGGCTTATGATATTCTTTATGGCCAATAATTTATATGCTACAATGCTTCTGAGAAGCGTTCATATTATTACAATAAAATGTCTGTTTGGTAACATGGCTTGTCATTTTTATCCACCATTGTCTAGTCATATTATTCTTTGCCATATCCCTGTGCTTGCATCCTCCCTCTATCTATATATACATGTTTGCACATGCATTTATTTTCCTTTGCCAAAGAGAAAAGTAAAAGAAAAATTTTCCTTTTGCAAATGGCTTATATTTGTTTGACATTCTATTGATTATTCTCATTTACCTTTTATATTTTATATAGATGGAAATTCGATCTGATCTGATGGATGCACACATGTATGCGTTCAAGAGGTTGGTTCCTCATCTCGCCCTGGTTGCTTTGAAATCAGCTTTTAGATATGGGCTCCGTTTTCGAATAATTCCTTGTTATATTTCCGCTCAGATCTGTTCTGCAAGAAGTTTTAGACCAAAAGGATACTTTTCAAAGCTTGAAACAGGACATAGTTCCTTACCTAGTCCGGAGCCAGCTGGTTGGTATCATTACATTTTAGATGTTCACAGGCCACATTTATAACTGGGTATCTAATTTTTGTTCCGGATTCTTTTATAACTATCAGAAATCAGAGGCCTTGTTAAATGGAATTCCACAAGTAGAGGAAAATGATAATGAGAAGCTTAGTTCCCTGAACAATCAAGTTTTGGTCTCCCAAATCCTTGCTAATGCATCTACCCAGAGCTTTCATGAACGCTATTCTATGGAGCCTGATGGTTCTTCCCGGACTCGGAAAACCCATAAATGTTGTGCTTATATTGCAAGCAACAGCAGTTATTGTGTTCGCTTAAATTCCATTCAAGCATTCATGGACATCAATCGAGATGTGAGAGCTATTTTTCGTTTTGTTTTCTTATTTGCACTCTGCTTTTTCTAATCCACTTTGTATTTCGTAAATAACTTATTCTATCTCAAACATTTCAGGTCACTGGTGAAGCATATCATCTGTTAATTGATACATCCTCAGATCATGATAATATTATAAGTCCTTCACCGAAGCTTGGAACCAAACTACTGTAAGCCTAAATCACCAGCAAAACTTTCAGAATTATTTTGAATCAATTAGGATAACAACTGTTGGTGTTATGATGAATAATGTAATGAAAATGCAGGTTTTGACTTACATGCTATATACCTGCAAACTAGGCCTTATCTTTCTATGATTTTAGGTGGGACCACACTGTATGCTGGGGGACGGTTCAGAAATGAGTGACAAATGCCAAGTAAAAAGATCTGTGATTGGCCGTCACTGTCGGATAGGTTCCCATGTTAAGGTACGGTGATTTCTCTAATCATGATAGGCAAGTGAATAGCAAAAGGTAATTTTGACGCTTTCAGTAAAGCTTGTCCCAAATGATCTTTTCATTCCCTAATTTAAAAATAAAAGTATGAAGCTTAGTTTTTTTGTTCAGTAGCTCAAAATATCTTTCCATGCATATGCAGATTGTCAATTCAGTTGTAATGAATCATGTCACAATAGGCGATGGCTGCATAATTCAAGGTTCCGTGATTTGCAACAATGTACAGCTTCAAGAGCGTGTTGTATTGAAGGATTGCCTAGTAATGCTCCCTCTCAAGTAAACTTTACATACATATGAAGAGTAAACTAGTTTTACTAATTTTGTCATTCTTTTAGGTTGGGGCAGGTTTTGTAGTTACCATGGGAAACGAGTATAAAGGAGAATCTTTGGCTAGGAAAGGGAAATGATTGAAGGCTGTTGTATCCCAGAAATGCAAGAAAAAGGCCAGTCTCTACTCATTTCATTTTCATGGTGCTATTTCGGACATGCTTTGCTGAAACCACTGATGCTAGCAAAATGCGATCTTTGACAAGTGAAGGTAAGGCAATGTTAATGACTATATTTTTCTGCTCTCCATTTTATTCTCTTTGAATGTTGCTTGAACTTGATGGGGTCATCCCGCTGTTTATTTTTCACAAGACTAAAAATGATATATAGACTAATCCCTGTTTTGGCTTATGTTTTGGATGTTCTTATTTTACTAGTTTCTGGTGCATAGTTTTCCTGTTAACCAAGAATTTAGTCGGATAATATCATCTGTGTTAACCAAGACTAAAAATGAAAAAGGTAAGAGTATTAGACAGGAGTATGTATCCAATTTATTCCAAGATTTTTCAAGGATTTACTTGCAAAAGATAGCAGCTCTGGACTCCAAACTCAAATAAGCAATAAATTTGAGCAACTGTTTTGCATGTCCGTCCTTGGATGATAGTAGGGGTTCAGTCAAGCAAAGTTATATGAAGCCTGAACTTAATTAATCAGGCTTCACTTTTAAAGTTGCAGCTTGGTTTGAGATAGAAATTGAATAGATAAGGTGTGCTCAATTAAGCTTATTTAATAGCCAAAAACGAACTCAACTTTTATACTTCTCCGAACTTTATTATTTACATTCAAGCTCGAGTTCAATTTGGGATTTTTACCAATATCACCTATTTTCAATAAGTTGATAAACAATAAAGTCAATTTCAGTATATAAGATGGGAGACAAATAGTGATCAAATTGATGCTCTTGTCATACAACAAAAACATTTCGTTTAGGCGAGGCTCACTTGATCATGTTCACAAAACAAACCACATGATTAAATCTCTCTCTTCACTAGTAAGAAAAAGATTATATCCAACTGTGTTTCTCAATATTTGAGCTTATTTCACGTTACATGTTTTGTAGATCGACTCCATACTATATTGCACGTTACTTCACACTAAGCTTATTTCATGTTTATGTTTCCATAATCACTGTAATATCAGCAAAGATACTGCCATAGAGGGATTGATCATATCCGGGCAAAGTCTATTGTTTTCTTTCCTTCATGTTTCTTGCTGAAAAAGTACTTGGAATAATCGGAGAAGACAACTTCCTTATACAATGGTTGCTCCCCGCTTTCTAGCACTTCTGGCAAAGGACCAAAAACGACATCCGCTCCTAGATCCAAAAAAATGGGCACTGAAACTCTATCCTTGCTTCCATTGGCAACCACCCGATGTTCAATGCTCTTGTACCTGTCGTTGCTCATTATCTGTAGAATGTCTCCCACGTTGATTACAAGAGCCCCATTGACTGGTGGAACATGAATCCAGCTATTGTCATCGGTTGCTCGAACATAAAGGCCGCCATTTTCATCTTGTAGGAGAGTAGTGATTGTCGATATATCAGAGTGAGGGAATACTCCTCCTGTGAGGTCTGGCTTCAGGCAGTGTGGATAGTAATTTAGGTTAACCACCGGTGAAACTATTAACGGATATTCTCTAGTTTTGTCTCTCTCTTTCACCTTAAGTCCCTTCAATAGGACCTCCAGCAGCTTCCTTATCACAGGCTTTGCACTCTCCAAATATTTCACCACTTCATCCCTGTAAACAAGCATAGATCCATCCGATCCTCTCAAGTACCCCGTTTTTTTAATGGCGCAAATGTCTTAAGAAGCAGCTGAAAATTAACATCTAAGAACCCTAACTCTAGATGAAGATGATTACACCCCCAAAGGGGAAGCAAAGAACATATTTATAACCATTACAAAAAGCTTGAATTGAACATTTGTAGACGCTTAATGCATAATTAAAGCAAAAGGGTCGAACACAAATTACCTGCAAACAGGGGGCCATAAGGGAAATGATTCCAGATCCCGAGGACTACAACGAAAGCTGAGGAAATCTTTCCACTCAAAAACAGTCTCTGCTAGCGGAGCAAAACTTGTTTTCAAAGCCACTGTTTCAGTCGGCGAATTCCCAACCCAGTACTTCTTTCTCTCTTCATTTGGTAACCCAAAGAACCTATGAGAGGCTTCTTTGACGGCGTCGAGAACTTCCAAGGGAACTCCATGGTTAATTATCTGAAAGAAACCCCACTCTTCGGCAGCTTTGCAGATCGATTCGGTTACCTTTGGGTCGTCCCAATTGGAAACATCAATTACCGGAATGGAGTGGTGATTCGAGATGTTGTTTGGTTCCAATCTTTCCTCTAGTGGTAGAATATAAAGCTCGGGAACGGTTTCAATACCTGTATCGACTAAACCCTTAATTCCATTTCTTTTGTTTACGACGAAATCGATTATTTTTTCCGAGTTGGGTTCTCTTGGGGGCATTGTTGGAGATGTAAGATTTTCCTAGTTTGGATAAGAATAGACAAAGACTATATGGTGCTTTTTGTATGGTAGAAACATAAGGTGCATATATACTATATAAATTTGTAATTCATAAATATTATTATAAAAATTTATAAGTATATATTTTTTAACACTAAGATACAATTAAAATATATAACCCATATGATGAGTTTTCTTTTATTCTGTTCAAACATGATAAGTTTTTTTAGTTTCTACTATAGCTTTTATGGAATGTTATAAATACATTTTTCATGTGATTTTTATATCACATTATCATGGAATTTCTACGCTCACCAAAATCATCTTACGCTTGTCTTTCCGATTTAAAGTTTAAATTTAGTTTAATAAAAAAAAGTTTAAATATGGTTTGAATTCTAATTAAGAATTTCAGTTAAATGTGTTGCATGTACATGCTGGCTGTGTTGTTGTTCGTTTTCATGGAGGGTATATTGTCCTGTTATGGTATTCCATAGACATGGCACCCTCTTTTTCTTCCATTAGGTTTATGGGGTTTTTTAAATGAGGTTCATGTCTATGTCTTATTAGGTTTATGGGGTTTTTTAAATGAGGTTCATGTCTATGTCTTATTTTGTATGTGTTCATAATAAAATCGTACATTTTAAAAAAAAGAATTTCATTTAGATTTAATTCTAGGCTTAATATGAAAATAAGTGTTCAAATTATATTGTTTTTCCTATTTAAGTGTCTAAATTATTTTTAAAAAAATCTAAGAGTCTAATGTTACAAATGTTACTATTTTAAGTGTCCCGATCGTAACAACAGTTAAAAATTTCATTAAGTGACATGTGTCAGATAATTTTAGAGAGTTTATTTAAAAAACCTTAAAAATAAATTATTATATTAAAAATAATTTAAAAAAATCACCCCCACACAGCTTCCCCTCCCTCTCCCTCTCGTCCCCGCTCCCCCTCCCTCCCCAGTCCCCTCTCACCCACTGTCCCCCGTCCCCTTTACCCAATATTTTTTAACAACCCTTTATCCAATATTAGTATTTGGTGACGGTGGTCAGAATGATTTCAAAGGTTAATGATGGTATTGTGTCGTCAGGTGACTATGTTGCTGATGGAGGTTTGAGTCGACGAAAAGACGACAAATGACGATGGCCGATATGAGTATAGGGATTGGAATAAAGAATTTTAAAGTTATGAATTTTTTTAAAGATTTTCAAAAACTTTAGATTCTTTTCAAAAAAGAAATTATATTTTTAAGGTTTTTTTATTTTAAATAAAACTTTTCTAAATTACCAACAAGATACTTATCGCTTAACGAAATTTAATATGGTTATAGTAAGACGCTTAAAATGGTAACGTTTGTAACATTATACACTTAAATTGACCAACAAATAATTTATACACTTAAATAGGAAAAAAGAGTATAATTTAAACATTATTTTATATTAAAACTAAATTCTCCTGCCATCAAATTTAATCAATTAGTATTTTATATCGATATGTTTATTTCGATTATGGGACATTGAATTCTCTATAAGAGATGCAACTAGTTAACCTAGCCTAGTTGGACTTTATTGGGCAAAATTAGTTTGTCCAAAATATTCTTCAACTAAATTATTTTATAAGCGCGCACTATAATGTTTATGTATTCTGTTTCACATGTCGGTTTACTATTTATTTATTTTTATGACAATAAAAATGTTGTTGAACTGATATGAAATATATATTTAAAATTGTTATTTCGATCATCCAAGTTTTTCTCATAATTAATATCAAAATAATAAACTTAATTTCATGTTTAGTTTTGTCGGATCGATTATCCATTTGTAATATTTCATCCTAAATTTTCTTTTATTTAATCTATATTTCTTTTAAGATATAAATATTTTATCTTATATTTGTTTTATCTCGTCAAAAAGTGTGAGTATTAATTTTTTTTTATTTAAATTTTATAATCATAACTTTCTCGAAGTCATTGAATATTTTTAGATTATTTTAAGTGAATATCATGTTGTCCACATATAAGCATTTCATCATAGTATTGTCACTTTCAATTTTTTTCTATACGAGACATGCTCGTATGAAATTTTTAACAAATTTATTTTTGTAAAAGTACATGGGGCTTGAACCTCAACGGTTGTTTAGTAAACAGATTATGAGTACCAAAAAATAAATGATTTTTGGTGAATTTAGGACTTGAACCTCATACTTTCCTTACAAATCTCAAAATATTTAGTTATTGGACTAGTTTATAAATGTATTCATATTCCATTAATATTAATATTTAATTTGTATAACTGTTAAATTAAAAAAATATTAATAGAATGAGAAATTATGGAAACTAAGATAATAAAATAGATTAATTTAAAAATCAAAATACTCTAAATATTTTATCTCTACTATTTTATACGTTTTGATTTCCCATTTTCTCTCAAATATAAAATCAAGTCGAAAATAAATCCTCCAATCGAGAAACTTAACGCAGAATTACTATAAAAAAATGGTGGAAACTAATGCTTTTAATAAATGAAAACAAATAACACTTTTAAATTAAATCATAAAAAATAAAGAGAAACTTTTATAAATTAAAAAAAAGAAAATTTGAATGAAATAAAAATAAATGTGAAATAATAGTATATTATATGAAATTTTGTCATCTATTGAATAATAAATAATAATGTTAGTGATGTACGAATCAAGTAGTCTATGTGGTAAAAGAATTGTTGTAATTTCTTGAAGACTCGTATTTGAACACCATAAACATCAGGGATGAGAGGTTTATAATTATTTTTAAACAAATAATATCTTGTATTTATCCTAAATTTATGAAAATGATAATAATAATAATATTAACGATAGATACGAACTTATAATTTTATATTAGAATTAAAACTTTTAGGAAATTATATTATAAATTTAAGACAGCTCATTTTCTTAAAGGATACATTCCATCACGACTCACGACGCTTAAGCCTGAAGCTAAGTAGACTATTGGGAAATACCATGGGCCACCATGCACTGAATAACTCCTTTTATTCTAGATTTTTGACTTTTATAAAGCTTACGCGTTAAGAAAGGTCCTTGAATTCCAAAAATATTTTCCCAAAGGAAAATTTAAAAAGAAAGGTTAAATTTTGTACAAAGTCCTCTTACAATTCGTTTTTAGTAGATTTAATCTCTTTACTATACTTTGATCAATTATAATCATCGACTCTTCAATATATGTATTTTCGGTCCAATGCTAATTTTCATAATTTTTTACATCATCATCCAGTATTTTAAGAATTGATATTAAAATGTTTATAAAAGTTGTATATCTCATACGGTTGAAGAAAATCATTTAATTTAGAACCATGTGTACCATAATATCATAAATAATAGGTACTAAATCTCTTAAGTAAGATCAGATATTCAAATTTTGACGTTTGTGAATATAACAACCTAGATTAAGATAGTCTTCTCACCTGTGCAATATCTAATCTAAATTACTCAATTAATATATCAGATATCGATGATTATTTCAATAATAATAATTATTATTAAATTTAAATATAAACCTGAAAAGCTAGACTCAATTAAAATTTTATAAAACTTAACTAAAAAATAAATAAAAACAAAATAACTTATATTTCTCAATCCTAAAAATATCTCTTTTTGTCATTTCTCCGACTCTTGTTGTATAAAAGAACAAATGCTTGGGTATCCGAGCTTCAGCAGTACACATCAAATTATCGTCTCATCACAAGAAAAAAAGAGAGAAATGGCTACTCTGGGTGGAATTAGCCAGGTTGAAGGAAGCGCCAATAGCCTTGAGATTGAAAACCTGGCTCGTTTTGCTGTAGATGAACACAACAAGAAGGGGGTATGTTTGTTTTCTTTATAATCTCAATCTACGTGTGAATTGTATATAAATTATTGTCAGTTAATGGGTTTACTTTATTTTATTTTTGGGGGTTTGGAATTATAGAATGCGATGCTGCAGTTTAAGAAAGTGACGAACGTGAAGCAACAGGTGGTTTCCGGTACTATGTATTACATAACATTGGAGGTGATGGATGGTGACAAGTTGAAAGTTTATGAATCCAAGGTGTGGGAGAAGCCATGGATGAATTTCAAGGAGTTGCAGGATTTCAAGCTTATTGGCGATGCCACAGCCTCCGCTTGAGGTTAAGCTCAATCCCATTCTTAATTTTGTCCCTTTTCTTACTCTAAACGATTAAATGAAAATATGGGTTTTCATTAGATTGGGTAGTTGTAAGATTTTTTTATTTGAATTCATTAATACAACCAAGTCTGAATATTAACTCAACCCACACCCACAAATTATAGAGAGTTGGAAAACAAATTGATTATTTGGGTTATCTTTGGTTCATCAGAATTGAATTTTGAACTGTTGATTGAGCCATCGAGGCTTACTTTGCCAAGTTTTTGTTGGGATTCAGTTGATTTAACAACAGTTATTTTTTTTTCCTTTCAATGTGTGGTTGCATGTGCATGTTGTTGCTTCATTGATATGTTTGGTTATACGCCAATTAAATTTCTCGGAGTATAAACTAAGGAGAGGAGATTGAACTTTTAGGATAATTTTTTCTATGTTTGGTCTCGTTAACACAACATCCATTCGAGGCTTAGGGAGTTGGGATAGTGCAAGAAGTATGCAAGGAGCAAAAGAATGAACTTATAGCACCAAGAGGAATAGGATAAGTAGTGTTCAGTGAGCAACCTTTGTTTGGTTATAAACTGTATTAACTAAAACCTGAAGGTTTTGCTTAGTTGATTGGAAAAGTGGAAGGATGGACGGTATGAATGAAAAAGTGGAAAGAAAATAAATTTTGAGGGGGTGTTTGGTAAGGAAAAGAAGTTAGTGAAATAGAAACATAGTAGTGACATGTGCAATTAGTTATCTGGCTTGCTTTGTTTTGTAGGTTTGGAATATGAAAAATTGAATATTCCTTCCGTAGTCCTGTCTTATACATGCTTTTGCTAGTGTTACTATTCGGGAAGGAAACAAATTGTTCTACAATCTGGTGCTATTCGATAATGGTTGTCAATTTAATGTGTAACCTTAGGGACTGATAGACAGTCTCTGGATGAAAGAGTAGGTCTTCATCTGAATCCCCAAAACCCCATCACCACAAGATTTGAAACATTGGGGAAATTTGTATTAGGTTTCACTATCGATAATTATGTTGCTTTTTCTGTTTTATATTTTCGTCTCTGTTTCCATTCCATGCTTCGGAAATCCTGTATGCTATTTTCAAGTCATCCTATTGAATAGACCTAGTTGTGGGTTAGTTTTATTAGTAACACTATTGTCTTTGTTTTTCTTATTCAGGTGACCGGAGATTGTAAGGGGGAGGATATCAGGATACCGACGGCGGGCCTTGCCTTTAAATAAATGTAACAATGCTTTAAAATTCATTTGGATTTAAAGTGTACTAAATTCAGTGGTACTAAACTTAAGCTTACCTAGAATAATGAATAATGTAAATTGATGCAGCAAAGTTCAAAATTACCTGTCTCCCTTTTACCCTATTTTCTTATGTAGTTGTTTCTAAAGATGAATTAAAATTAGTATGATTCCATTGTCTGAAGTTAATCTTCACACATCCTTCCATCTCCATGACTTCCAATCTACTATATATATATTTTTATATAAAAAATTTGACATTTTCATGTGATGATATCATGTGTGTTGCGTTTCCATGGTGTGTTGGGTTTACCATGTCATCTTCTCCATTCGTGTGGCATCTGCCTAGGCTGTTCCACGCATGGAGTCCCAGCTGGTGCTCGGACACCACCGTGGCTAATGCTGTTGGCTCCCGTACCGGCATTCGACTTCCAATGTCCACGCTCTTTCATATTAGTTTAAATATTTATTTAACAAGTCGAAGTCGGTTTTAGCCTTGAGGTTGTTCATCTGGTCGCTTTTCTCAATTTTGCATGTGATTTGGACTGATCTATTACAGCTGTGCATGTTCTTGGTGCTGGGAATAAAGTTGCGCATGTTTTGGCTAGAATGGCGTGGAGTGTGTCTACTGGACAGACTGCATGTGTTTTCAGGACCTCCGGATGAGATTATAAGGCTGTTTTCCTGATGATTGGATAGAATTGGCATAAAAGTTATTAACATAAAACAGGTGAACATAAATAAAGTTTTAAGTGGGTACAAAACAGGAAAATAGAAAACTGATATAAAGAAATTCAGGTTTTACTATGGACATTTATTTAGTCATTTACCTCCCTTGGGAATAAGTTACATCTGTCACTGGATTCTACTATCACTGTCACGTGATTTAATTATTTTTATTTGTAATCAAAATAAATAAATCAAAGTCAATTTAATCAATTAAAACATTTAAATTTCAAAAATCGAAGCTAAATTGATAAAATGATTTAATCAATTTTTATAATTGAATTTAAATATAAAAATAATTTAAATCGAAAAAAATAAATTAGACCTATTAAATTAACTTAATCAATTTCTACTAGACTTAATGAGATAGTTAATGTAGATATAGATATAGATATAGATATAGTCTTATAGATATTATGGTAATGAAACGAAAAGAAAATAATGTAATAATAAAATTGACAGTGATAATAAAAATTATTCTTAATAAATAAAAGGAACGTAAAAGATGGGAAGAAGGGTGTAATATAGACAATTGAATATTCTCCTATTTGCTGAGTAATTTATTTTGATTTTCTATTGCAAATAGAAAATGGGTAAACTACATCATTGGTCGCCAATTATCACATCTTTTTATTTTCGTCATCAAACTATTTTTCTAGAAATTTAATCACTGATTTTATTTTTTCTATTTAAATTACCGATTGTTAAGTTTTACCAGAAGATGATTGTTTAAAAAAGGGGAAATTAAGAGGATCAAATTATAAATAAATTAAAAAATAAATTAAATTTTATAATATATGAATCAAATTAATAGAGTATATAATTTTTAAAAACTAAAATTATATTGTACTGGACAACATCATTATTTCTTTTAAAACTTAACAGTTAATTATAAAAACAGAAAAGAAATAAACTTAGTGACTGAATTTGTGTAAAAAATAGTTTAATGAACAAAATAAAAAATCAATAATAATTGAGCGGCTAACAATAGTTTACCCAAAGAAAAAAGAAAAAAAATAAGAACAAAACCCTAATCCCGTCGGTTTAGTTTCAGCCTCGAAAAACCTATCTTTCTCTCTCTTCTTCGTTTGTCTCGTCGCATCCAGCTCTCTCAAAGTCTCAACCATAAGTCCATCAATCTCTATCGTTCGATCCATCCCCAACCCTTCCATTCAATCCAGGTATTCCGATTATTGTCATCCCCTCTTTGATTTATTTATTTATTTTTGGAATTCATTGTTTTATTATATAGGAAAGCTTGTTTGATAGATCATGTGGGTGAACCCTTCTCTCTTTTAGAAATATCTATTGAATCTGCAGTCGTTTTACCGGAAGAATCGTGCTTGTTTGGGTAATTTCCGATCGAATCGTCTTGTTGGAATCTTCTTCTTAGAAATAGGGGAAATGGAATACCTAGTTGGAATATGATATCTGAATGCATGCATTATCGATTTAGGAAAATGAAAACCTAAATTTTATAGTTTTGTGATCCAATTGTTGGATTATTTATATAAACAAGATTCGTCTGTTTTAGTCTCTTTGCTATTGGATTTGGTTTTGGGGAAATAGGTTCTATTGTGATCCGAACTCAGAAAACGTGTGGTGTTAGTCTGCAGCTTATCTTATGTTTCAATTCCTTCTTGATTGCATGAATTTTGACTTCTTGGCAAAGTAATATCTTGTCTCTCTTTTTCTAGATTAGAGAGGCAGGTGTAGGAAGACTTCACTATACTAATTGATTCATAGAGAAGCAGTTCTATTATCTGCTTTAAGGAATTGCAAAAGTGAGAAACTCGGGAAACTGTGTTTTGAAAACCAAGAGAAGAAGCAGTCTTTTACGTGTTAGGATTTATTTAGCATTCTAAAAAAGTCAGGATTATTTTGAATATGATTGGTGATAATTTGTTTGCATTGGTAAAATATAATATAAGGGAGAGGTAGAAAAAGTGCCTCCAAAGAAGCAGGATCCCAGCCACAGTTTTGTTTTCATGTCTCTAGTATATTAATTGCAAGTACTCTACATTCTATTACACGCCCAACAAAGTAATATTGAATTTGGTGAGCAGTGAGCAAGATCTGTAATTTTCAACCGTGGTATTGAAGCATTATAATAAGAATACATTGTGTTAGGGTAAATGCATCATGGTTAAAAGATGAAGCCAAGAATTTCTTAGATCAGATCAATAAATGGTTTCATTTATTTTATATTTTTGGATAATTGTATTTATCTGAGGTGATAGAGTTAGGAACCAACTGTATCCTTAAGTGTAGAGGAAGGAGCATGAGAATAAGTTATCTCTTGTATCATGCCAAACCAACGAATTTCAAAATTCCTAATTCAAGTCCGAGGATAAAGAACTTTCTTGTAAGCATATATATGTTTGAGTTGTAAGTTCCTGGTCTGTAGTTGAAACTTTGGTGTATGATGAGAGGAATAAGATCTTTGAATAGGTTAGAGAGCTGGAGCTATCATGAAAAAATATCTGTAAGAAAAAACAATGTTTGGAAGGGCTTCTGAAAGATATTTGCAATTTTTATTCCATTGTCTTTCTTTGTTGGATTATTAAGATATAATTATTTTTCGTGTCCTGTGGGGGAAATCCTTCTTCAAAAGATTGTTTTGGGAGTTTGATGTATGTTAATCTGGTGTGCTTCATTGTTGAAAAATCTGACCGTACCGGCCTGTCGACTGGGTTCAACTTAGAATCGGAGGACTGGTATAGTACATTGAACCAGAGATTTACTGAACTGGTAAAAAAGTTCAACCTGCTTTAGGTTATTTTCTTTTTCCTTTTTTTGTAAGTGTTGAGATTTGAACTACTTTATTTTATATTAAAAACTATACCAATAAGTCAGACACATTTATATTAATGATTTACTATATTATTATTTAATATTAAAATAAATTATTTGATATTTTAAGATTAAATTTGCTGGACCAACCAAGCATTATTACTGAAAACTAGTGAGCAATAGTGAAAAGTGGAAGACAATAAGCAAAATTACCATCCAAAATAGAGCCTAAATTTCATTGCTTTGTTGCTGGTATATATCATTTTGGGAACATTTTTACTTGGGGTATAATTTTTAGGTTTAACTTTGATATGCTTTTTCAATTAGGTCCAGGAACAACATTGTATGTTTTTGTCTAGTGTTTGGTTTGAAGCTTTTTGATTCCATGACATTTTATATTTATTTTAAAACCATCAGTGTTTGTGTTTGATGAGCTTTTCGCAAGAAGTGACTTTTTCGTTTCTTCCTTTCATCGGTTTTTGCTGCTTAAAACCTGATTGATTTTTAGTAAATTGTTGTCTAAACATTTCAGAACCATAATTGGCCACAACAATGTCTCCTGCATCCAAGTCCAAATCTAAGGATAAAAGGTTGGCAATGAATCTCAGAAGACTCCTTCAAAACCTTCAGGACCTGCTAATGCAGGTAGTGGTGTTCCAGCTAGTGCATATAATCCTCTTTTAGGAACATTCCATACCATTGAAACAGCACTGCCGTCCTCTGCTTCACCTCTTCAAAACAATGGTCGTTTCAAAAACATAGAGACAGATGAGCATTTGAGAGGCTCACTTGGAGCTGGGGTCGAGTATGATTCTGTTTCCAATAATGATAGCTTGTCTGGTGAATCAGAAGATCACAAAGAGAAATCATCTAATCCTCCCGTCAAGCAAGAAGTCATACCAGGAGCTGACAATGATAAACGGGAGAAAATTCGTCAAAAGAATGAGAGGAAACATCAGCGTCAGAAGGAGAAGCGAGTTCAGGAGTTGCATGAGCGGTGCAGTGGCTATCTCATGTCAAGAAAGCTTGAAGCTCTTGCTCAGCAGCTTGTAGCTATGGGATTTCCACATGAACGGTCAATAATGGCTCTTATATTGAATGAAGGCAAAGTGGAGGAATCTGTGGCATGGCTTTTTGAAGGAGGGGAAGAAGCAGTTAAGCATAAAGAATCAACTATCAGTGATGGGAACTTGAAAATTGACATATCGGACGAGCTTGCACGGATTGCTGATATGGAAATCAGATACAAGTGTTCAAAGCAGGAGGTTGAAAGAGCAATTGTTGCTGCTGAAGGTGATCTAGACAGTGCAGCGGAAGCCTTAAGTACTCTGAAGCTAGATCCGCCTACACCAAAGACAGAAGAAAGTGGTGATCCCCTGAGTACCAATAAAGTATCGATAGCAGCTAGTCAAAACCTATTTGTAAGGCCACAACCAAAGCCAAACCCAACTGCAACACAACAAAGAGATGAGAAGGATTTTAACTATACAAAAGCAGCAGTTACAGGGGGAGGTTCTTCAGAATCTACGAATAGAAGTTTCCAGCCTTTGAAGAGAATACTACCAAAAATAGAATGGGCAAAACCCCAACAAAGTGCTGTTCCAGATGACAAAAGGTGGCCAAGTTCTGGATCAAATCCCTCTGTTTCTTATTCCTTGGCTTCACATTTGCAGGCCTCACCTCCACCAGCAAAAACAGAAAGCCGTTATGTGGCTGTGGGAAATGATTATAAGAACTTTCAGCCTTCAATTAGGGAACCGGTTATAATGATGCAGCGACCTCAATCTTTAAATCCAAAGCAGGTTCCAGCTACAAGTATAAGCTCGTCTCCTCCTGGAACAACCTCCTTTATGTATCCTACCAGTAGTGTTGAAATACCAAAATCTAATTGCTCTATGCCCATATTCCGAGTGCTAGAAGCCTCAGTTCCAGTGGATTAAGTTCAAATCAGATGCATCACCAGCTTATTATCCCCAACAGCGACAGTTCACATTTGGCAGTGGTCCTGGAGAATCTCCACGAACTAGTCGAGGAAATGGTTTGTGGAGTAGAACAGGTGCATCATCAATGCTTGCGCCTGCATCCTCACTTGGACTTTTCACCGGTTTGAATTCTACTATTACATCAGGAGCCTCTTCTCGGGTTGACTGGACCAGTGGTAGCTCAATGGAACAGTTGGACTATACCAATATTGATTGGAGCTTGGATAGGGGGTTGTCTTCTCCAAGTCTTGCTGGAATTTGGCCTGGACCGACATCTTCGAATAGCTCAAACATTTATCACCCTAATACAAATGGATTAAATGCTAAACCAGCAATGAGATTGATGCCTTCTAATGGGAATGGTGTATCCATTGCGGGTTTCCTGGATGGTGGAGTGGTTCCTACAGAAAGTTCAACAGTTGGCTCGCATGAGTGGACTTCACCATTTGAAGGGAAAGATCTCTTTAGCTTACCCAGACAGTTTGTTTCTTCTCCCTCACTCTAGGTTAGGGAAAAGATTTTATGAAATAAAAAAAAAGACAAAATGTGCTTGGATTTGATGGTTAATGTTGGTTCTTGTGATGCTAATGTGTTGATTTGATTGATTGCTGGTGAATATCTTTCGAGTGAGAAAAAAATCCTATAATATATTAAAAAATTATTTCATATAGCTGAAATAGACATACAGGTTTCAAAAATGAAAGCGTTCTCAAGTATATACACATTAAAACTATTAGTATTATATAGTTTGATTGGTTGAATGGAATAGGAATGATGTCACTTGAACGAAACACAATCATTATTTACATTCTAGCGACCTAAATATGCAATCTAAATATTCAATGTCATTGACATTAAAACTTTAAAAGCTGTATGATTATCTATATAACATTAAAACTTTGCATGAATATATTTAGAGTTTACATCATACGTTCTCCAACAATGATCATCATTTTAAATTGGTCCTTTTTCTTTTGAATATTCCAATTTTATCCTTAAATTATGAATTTATTTTAAATTAGCCTTTAAAATTTTGAATATTCCAATTTCATCCCCCAAACTTTGACCCCTTTAAATTGGTCCCAAAACTTTTGAATCTTTCAATTTCATCCCTAAAGTCATACAAATATGTAATTAGTTTCAAGCATAGTTTAACTTAAATTTTTCTCTCAAACATATAACAATATAACTTGGCCTAACGATTTTTAACAAAGGATGTGATTAGTATATATGTATAGTTTAGGATGAAAATAGAAATGTACAAAAGTTTGGGAATCAATTTAGAATGAAGGTCATATTTTAAGGATGAAAATGAAATATTTAAAAGTTTAAGGACTAATTTAGATTGATAGTCATAGTTTAGGGATAAAATTAGAATGTTTCAAAAATAAAATTAATTTAAAATAAGTCATATTTTAAGAATATTTAACGCAATAACTCTTATATTCATCTAAAAATACAAAAAATATCATATCCATGTATCAAAAATTCTAATCAAAATAAGGTAATAACACCAAATACACTAATAAAAAAAATATACTTGGCAATGTCGGTTTGTAATTCTTGCTAAGCACACATGCCAACCCCTATAAAATACTACTTGTTTGTCCTGTTTATCTCTATTTCTTCTTCGATAACTTTCGGATTTACGTATGGTTTTTAATTCACCGTCGCCGCCATGAGTATCGTTAAACAAATAGCGACCATGGAACCCGAAACCCTGAACAGGTTAAGCAACTCTGAACAATTATCAACTTCCGATGATGATTCTGACGATCCAAGAAGGTTGACAATTTTTCAGGGATGTTGGACGCTGGACGAACGGGGTTCATATGGTGCGACGGCATGAAAACGAGGCTGGTCAAGTCGAGGGCTTGTGAGGCCAACCGAGACTTGGAAACTACGTTAATGGAAGTCAAGTACGAGGTGGCGACTGAACTGGCTAAAATCTTGTCGAAAAGTATCGACCCTGCGTTTGCCGGTAGTGAAGGTGTGAAAATAGTAGAGGAAGATGGCGGAGCTTGTGGGATTTGTCTTGAAGATATGGAGAAAGGAGAGGAAGTCAGAGCTCTAGCAGCGTGCGGCCATAAGTTCCGTTATTGTTGCATTTCCATGTGGGTTAAGAGGAAACAGGATTGCCCTTTGTGTAGATCTCCATGAAAACTGATAAATTCTTTTGAGTTTTACCTTTAGTTTTTCATGTTTACACCAAACATTTCATCTCATGTTCCTTTGGAAATTAGGGTTTTGTCTTGCCCTTTATGTTTTGTATGTTTTCATGGAATTTTATATATTTAGCTTATCGTACTGTATATATAAACTTATTTTTCAAAGTGTTAACACTTACATGGCCACAACCACGGCAGTTTTTACCACCCATCTGCTAGAATTTCATTTACAATTTTCATTAATTATGGCATTTAAAAATAAATTGATAGAGCCATCGATAATTTGAAATAAATAAATCCACGTCAGGTACGAGGTTAGGATTGCTATAAAAACATGCTAATGTCTCTTTCCATAACTCATACTAATGCTATTGATGGTTTTATATATCAGTAAACTGACTAATTAATCATTCTATACTGATTATTAAACATTTAAAAGAAATAATTTAGGAATCAAAGTATACTTTTAAGAATCAATATATTAATAAAACTTTATATATATATATATATATATTGATTGATAACGTATACAATAATAGTAGAGGATGATCAGAGGGTTCGTCTAGTGTGGGTCTGTCTTCTGGAGAAGAAGTGTGTTAGTATCATTATTCTCTGTTGCATGACTATTTATAATGCTCTAGACATGTGTTGTTTGGTAGTTGTCGTGACATTGATGTTGATTGACCTCCAAGGAAGTGATGATTTAGATTAGTTTGTCATCAAAATAGATCACATATATCAACAAATGGTTACTCGTGATCGTACGTGGGAGATGCTCGCAGGGTAGTAGGTGATTAACACGTAGTCGTTGCTGGTAGTTCGCAAGTCTGGGGGTTCGAATCTTATGTTCGCATACTTAAAGGTTCGCACGAAACATGTTAAATTTGTGAGTTAAAGGTTTGTATAGATCATGAACTCGCATATGATAACAGTATATATAATAAAAAATCATACATGATAATAATAATAATAATAATAATTTGAATTTATATATGACATAATACAAAAATAATATGAACATGACATGAATATATAAATAAAATAAATTATTAATATATAAACTTTAAATAAACTTATCTATATAAATTTAAGAATGAGACAAAAAATAATATAAAATGTCTCGCCTTGTATTTATTGTGAACCACTTGTCGCCATCTTTGTTTACGTATTTTGTATTCTTGGCGTTAATGTCTCATTGTATTTATTAGAAACATAGCTTCATGAGAAATGAGGCATTTTGTTCATAACTTCCGTAAACCAAGTCCCCCTTTCTCGTTGAATATATGCAAGGCGTCTAACAACAACCTTTTTCCTTGTGGAATATTGCAAAAAAAAAAAGATCATTTTATTTCTCTCTCGAGAAGCTGTAGTCAAATCGCAGAATGTTTGTTGGTTTATTGATGTACAATAGGTGGAGAGATAGTTTACGATTATTTAGACGGTGATTTAAGTGAGTTTCGTAAAAGATTAATTTTATAAGAAGAATAAAGAGAAAAATGTGAAAGTTTGATATTAATTTTGTCGCGAATGATAATTGGTGACTAACAACGATTGACTGACACTCACTGGCGGAGCCAACTTGTAATGACAACACAAAAATTTTAGATTTTTTTTATTATAAATTTAATATAAAGTGATTTTTTTAAAATAAAATTAATATATTTTTTAAAAGAATATTGACTTCCTTAAAACATAAATTGGCACTCATTATTCATTTTCACCCACTTAAAAAAATTATTCATATAATTTCTAAATTTGACACCCGAAAAAATTAGACATAATTTGACACCCCAAAAATATTTTTTCTAACTTTGCCCCTGTTGTTATTGACAGTTGAAAAGTATAGTGTCAAAACAGTAAACTATTTAAAAGTTTAGAAGCAAAATCAATACACATATAAAGTATAAAGTGTCTAAAACGACGTCGTTTTAAGCATTAAAACAACCGTACCAAAATAATGTTATTTTTTTGTGGCAGACCACATCAACAACTATCATTCATGCCATTGTCCCGTTAGTGACTTAATGACATAATTGAATGTAAAATTAAAATTCAATATTATAATTTGTAAAATTTAAAGTTAGTCATTAAATAAAATTAAGTGATATCTTATGAATTTACCCTAAAATAAGCTGATATTTTTTAAAATGGTTCATAGATAGATAGAGAGGGGGGAGGGAGAGAAAGTGAGAGAGATGGAGATGGAGAGGGAGAGGGAGAGGGAGGAGAGGGAGAAGAGGAGAGAGAGAGAGGGAGAGAAGGAGGGAGAGGGAGAGGGAGAAAGAGAGGGGGAGGGAGAGAGGAGAAGAGAGAGAGGGAGAGAGGGAGGGAGAGGGAGAGAAGGAGAGAGGAAGAGAGAGAGAGATGGAGATAGAGAGAGGAAGAGGGAGAGAGGAGAGAAGGAGAGAGAGAGAGAGAGGGAGAGGGAGGGAGAGAGAGGGAGAGAGAGAGAGAGAGGGAGGGAGAGAGGGGGAGAGAGAGAGGGGATAGGGAGAGAGAGTGTGAGAGAGGGAGGGAGGAGAGGGAGAGGGGGAGAGGGAGAGGGAGAGAGAGAGAGAGGGCTAAGAAGTAGGGTATCCATCCCTTATAATCGGGGGAAGGGGCCATAACTAACCCAAAAGTGCTCTATTTTACCTGAGTGAAAGGGATCATCGCTTTCTCCTTTACCAATCACCATTACCTGCAAAAGCCTGAGTTATTTTACCTTAGTGAAAGGGGCTATCGCTTCTCCTTCGCCAATATCATTACCTGCAAAAGCCTGAGCAGAGCAGATTATATATGCTTTCTTTTCAACATTACTTGTACATACTTATAGGTAAATTGTAAATTTAATAATTGAATTTTATTCTCTTTTTTATTTATTCATTATATTTTTAATTTAATTATAAAACTTTATACATTGAATTTTTTGATAACACTGTGATGATATGATATTTTTATTAATTTTTAAATTGTCATGTAAGTATTAATAAAAAAAAATTTAATATTATTTTTTAATATTTTTCGCTCTTCGACCTTGTTGAAGCCAAATAAGAATCGGTCACCGTCTCCGCCGCTCAACCATCATTAAACCCAAGCTTCCATGGCCATTGTTCTGAACCCCTTCAAACAACTAATAGAAAACAAATTCACTCAAGGGTTGAATAACCAAATCCTTTACATGGCTCTACAATACTATTTCCCTAAAAACCATTTTGAATCATTGAAGTTTAAAACCAAATCCTTTTCATAGGGTTTAGGGGCACCTCGTTTACTAGGACTAGAAGAGGAGGGGACCATTCTATTATACAAAGAAGCCCAACAAATGTTAAATGAACTAATATTAATTTAAATAGAATCATTTAATCAGTTTAATTAATTTTTATTATTTGGATTTAAATTTTTAACTTTTTATTTATATTTAAATTTTGTTATAATATAATATAATACATATATACAGTGATGATGATGTAAGTATTATGATTGAATAGGTGAAGAATGTGGCGCAGGGCTCGAGGCATTCATTTCCTTCGACCTTTTTACATTTCGTTTTCATAAACATAAACAAATGTAATGGAAAGTGAAAGAAACCGATAGTGATGCGTACATACATGGTGTCGGAACCGTCTTTCGGTTGTGTCCCGGAATTGGGCTTCGACTTGAAATGAGTTGGGTTAGAGTCGCCACCGACCACTTTAAAACGAATTTAGGTGGGCCGGACACCATCTTACCTGATCTGCGACGTACAAGAAACGTGTCGGGTTCGGGAGTCTGTTACGGTCAAGGAAGGATTAGCACCCTTGAACCGCCCTTTCGGTACCAATTAGTTTGTCGGTTGTCTTTAATTGCGAAAATTGGAAACTTAAATTAAAATTTAAAAGACCCGATTCAATTACTTACCTCCGATAGATTTAAAGTGTACCCTTAAGAAGCCAAAAGCATGTTAGATGAAAAAAATGAAAATAAATAAAGAAAGAATTAGAAAATTATTGAAATTTATAAAAATTTAATTAAATATATATATATAAGGGTTAATGGCAGAATATATCACGTGTCGAGCATCACTTGATCCAGCTATAGATGTATTAGCATTTACCATATGTCTATGCTGCACCCCATTATTAGTGCATGGGATAATAGCCAAACTCATTACATCACCTTGTGGAGTTATAAGGCTAGGGCCAGAATCACGTGGGTAAAAGCTAGACTCTTCTTGGTCTCTGTGCAATGTATGTAATTGCATGCAAATTCTTTGTGCACCATTAACACTAGGTAAGTTAACACCCACTCTACACGAAGCTTGGTCAGCTTCATCAATCCTCTAAAATCCACACTGTAGAAGATAAACTCGAACTGGAATAGAACGTTTAGCGCCTTCGTCCACCGCTCCATCATCGCCGACTTCCGAGCAAGAAACCGTGTCGTTCCATTCAACCACCATTTCCGATTGCAGAGTCGAGAACGATGAAATGCATCTAGTGGTGATACTTCGGCTGACGTTGATGACGCCAATTTACCTGTTTCGCTTGCTGTTTTAGTGTTTGTGGACTGAGGTTGGTGGTGTGGGTGAGCTCTTGAGTCACTCGGTAATGGCGTGGAGCTATGGTCGAGAGGCCATCCTCCCCTCATTTTCTCTTTTTTTCCTTTTGTGCTCCCCCCCGATCTGCTGCCCCACGTTTGTAGTAAATACTCCAGCAACATTGGTATCAACGTCATAAGTGACAAGCGCAAGAACAGGCTTTTCTCCTTTGGCGCGTAGTCCGCCATATAAGCCCGCAGCTTTAAATCCCTTGGCAGCCGTAATTCCTCCAGGAATCTGCTTCCATACTCCATCGGGTAGAAGAATAGTAGCTGCTGGTATATAATTGGATGACTCATTATATTTCAGAAAAGGGAAATCAAGTGTAGGTTTTTCATCGGAGCTCCAAAGGAGTGGTGGCCATGGTGGTTCTAGGCTCCTGGTTATATCACTTTGGTCCACCGCAAGCTAACCGCCCCCCATTTTCGTTCGTTTACATATGTATTTATAGCTTTAGGAAAAACTATTTTTAGAGAGTTTAATTCCTACTCAAATGCATGTTTGTTAGTTGTTTGTTTTGCTTGCTCCGGACGATTCAGGATGCGAGTGGTATGGCCAGATTTATTGGGGAGGTCGGTTGAGATTTTAACAGAAAATTAGTGTCTACAGCTGCCCCTCTTTGTCTTTTTTCGTGGAATAAAAAATAAGAGAAAGATAAAAGGACACGAATTTTCGTTCAGTGGAGTTGAAAAATAACTCCCTGTCAAATTGGGTTGTGGATGACTCCTCCGTCGCGAAGTCGAGTCCACCTTGAAATGAGAAGGAATTGAATCGGAATGTGGCTTCTCGCCTCAATCTTTTCTCGATTTGAAGACCTTGGTTTGAAAATTCAACTGGAAAATATTTCTTTGACTCCACCATCTAGTTGACAAGCCCTCGAGCTGAATGAAATCGAACTCGAAAGGTCCTTCTTGACAGATAGCTTTTCTCGACTTAAGCTATGCTATCGGAAAACCAGTTTTTTTGCCACTATGGCACAGTTAACACAAGTCTTCTTTTTGACTTAAAAACATCGGTTGCAGCCGGACAATAGTGTGATTGTGGTGTCATCAAGCTGAATGGAATCGAACTCGACAATTTTATTGATAGATAGCCCTTCTTGCCTTGGGCTATGCTGTAAATGATGTGCTTAAGAGCTAAGCGTAGTCGAACTCGAAGGTCTTTGTTGGCAGATAACCCTTCTCGACTTGAGTTATGCTGCAAATGATGTGCCATTGAGCTGAGCGTAGTCGAATTCAAAGGTCTTTTGTTGGCAGACACTCCTTCTTTGAGTTGGATATCCCTCGACGTGAAGTTGAAATCCAATCTAGAGATTGATACTGCTTGTGTGCACGATTCCCTTCATCACGAAGTTGAAACCGTGGGTGGCCCCTTCGTCGTTAAGCTGAGCCTGGAATTGGATATCCTTCGTCGTGAAGTTGAAATCCAAGTAAGTTGTATTGTTCCAAGTCCAATATCCTCCGCCGTGAAGTTGAAATTGGCTATGGAACTGGAAAATTGTTTGTTGACAACCAGCGATCCCTTCGTCGTGAAGTTGAACTTGCGTTGTCTGGAGTCCAATATCCTTCATTGTGAAGTTGAAATTGGCTCTGAAATTGGGAAGTTGTTTGTTGACAACCAGCGGTCCCTTCGTCGTGAAGTTGAACTTGCGTTTTCTGGAGTCCAATATCCTTCGTTGTGAAGTTGAAATTGACTCTGAAATCGAGAAATGTTTGTTGACAACCAGCGGTCCCTTTGTCGTGAAGTTGAACTTGCGTTGTCTAGAGTCCAATATCCTTCGTTGTGAAGTTGAAATTGACTCTGAAATCGAGAAATGTTTGTTGACAACCAGCGGTCCCTTCGTCGTGAAGTTGAACTTGCGTTGTCTGGAGTCCAATATCCTTCGTTGTGAAGTTAAAATTGACTCTGAAATCGAGAAATTGTTTATTGACAACCAGCGGTCCCTTCGTCGTGAAGTTGAACTTGTGTTGTCTGGAGTCCAATATCCTTCGTTGTGAAGTTGAAATTGGCTCTGAAATTGGGAAATGTTTGTTGACAACCAGCGGTCCCTTCGTCGTGAAGTTGAACTTGCGTTGTCTGGAGTCCAATATCCTTCGTTGTGAAGTTGAAATTGGCTCTGAAATTGGGAAATGTTTGTTGACAACCAGCGGTCCCTTCGTCGTGAAGTTGAACTTGTGTTGTCTGGAGTCCAATATCCTTCGTTGTGAAGTTGAAATTGGCTCTGAAATTGGGAAGTTGTTTGTTGACAACCAGCGGTCCCTTCGTCGTGAAGTTGAACTTGCGTTGTCTGGAGTCCAATATCCTTCGTGTGAAGTTGAAATTGGCTCTGAATTGGGAAATGTTTGTTGACAACCAGCGGTCCCTTCGTCGTGAAGTTGAACTTGTGTTGTCTGGAGTCCAATATCCTTCGTTGTGAAGTTGAAATTGACTCTGAAATCGAGAAATGTTTGTTGACAACCAGCGGTCCCTTCGTCGTGAAGTTGAACTTGCGTTGTCTAGAGTCCAATATCCTTCGTTGTGAAGTTGAAATTGACTCTGAAATCGAGAAATGTTTGTTGACAACCAGCGGTCCCTTCGTCGTGAAGTTGAACTTGTGTTGTCTGGAGTCCAATATCCTTCGTTGTGAAGTTGAAATTGACTCTGAAATCGAGAAATTGTTTATTGACAACCAGCGGTCCCTTCGTCGTGAAGTTGAACTTGTGTTGTCTTGGATTCAAGATCCTTCGTTGAGAAGTTGAAATTTACTCTCGAGCAAATTGTGAGTTCGAGAGAAAATTTTCAATCTGTCGAGTTGGTCGAAGTGTAGCTTCTTGCTGCCGATCTAAGCAACCACCATCGTTCTTTAAAGGCGCTTACGAATCAAGTATCCTTGACTCTAAAAGCTGCAAAAATCATGTATGCTAAAATGAGGAATGTGATGCACCTAATTATGTCTAAGATGCATGCAACATGAATGAATTATGTGTTATCTCTTCGTGCTTTGTCTGCCAATTTGGTCCATGGAATCGATCGTGCCCCATTTGCTTCTCGAGCTTGGGCTTTACAGACATTTCATATCTGAGGTTGTTCTGTTTGAAAATGTTTTTCTCATTTTTCTTGTTTCAGGAGAGAAAACGATAAAAATGCTGTAAAATATTATTCACAATTGAATCAAATTATAAACGTGAGTTCAAAGAATATCAAAGGAATCAATAGCTCTTTTAACGTTTTCAGAGTTACAGCTCTTTGACCAGTGTCAAATGGATGGGTTGGCTTTAGCTTGGCCTCCTTTCTAAGGTTTTGGTAACCC